CCGTTCCCTCCGTCGCCGCTGCAATCCCTTCCATCCTCAGGACTCACCTCCGACCCGTTCGCTTAATTCTTCTCGCCCCCCCCCCCCGCTCTCCTCTTTTTCATCTCGTCCACCCTCCTGGTATCCCCCTTCGCTTCCCTTCTCCCTCATCGCACCTCTAACCACCTTCTTACTTCTCCGAAGTACACCTCCCGCTCACTCTTCCTCTTTCTCTCGCTCTTTGTTTCTCCTCTTTCTTCACCCTTTCCTTTATCCCTTCCCCATCGCGCAATGTCGTAACACGTACGACGGAACGCCGGCTTTAACTTACCTCACAGGTGAGCGCTCTCGGCTGTACCAAGGAGAGGACGAAGGAGCTGTCCTAAGGGAGGGAGGGAGGGAGGAACAAAGAGAGAGTGAGGAGCGGTGCGCTCGTGAACGAGCGAAGGGGAGAGAAAGACGGCGCGAACGTAGGAAGGGGAGGGGGGGATCAAACGGGAAAGAGAGAAGTACATGCGATCGAGGAAGACGGAGCACGGGAAACATGCGGCCATGCGGCGGAGGGCCCATTCCCGGCACTCGCGCGAGAACGAGCGGGCTCGACGCGCCGCACGCTCGCGGATCGCGCGCACGCACGTGATCGCGCACGTTTTCGCGAAAAACGTTCCGTCCGATCGGTACTTACCAATTAGCCTAATTCCCTGTGGACACCCCTTCCCGACAGGGTGCCTACGTACGCGCTTCTCTCTGTCTCCTTCCACCCACCCTCGGGAACTGCCGCTTCCGTTTGGTTGCGCCGTCACGTGGACCATCTCTTCCGATGATACCTTCAAACGGGAGCAAAGCGCTCGATTGTCCTACGATACGTGCCGATCGCGACGATCTCGTAGAAGCAGTGAGTGATATCCGGTGGTCTCGAAGTCGCGTATTATTTATCGAGAGGTACAGCGACGTTTTGAGTAGACCCGTAAAAGATAGTATCTATCTTTTCCAGATGATATTTTAGAGAATAATTGTATACTATCGATGTCAAATACTCTTTAACCGCGATACTCATGAATGTGACTGTGTGACTCCTCCGATCAGTGTGATCGCGTGGTCGTGCCTCAGGATTTCGAAGTGGCGTTTCGAGAATCTGAGATTTTGCGAGAAACTCGTGATTGTGTATAAACTTGTCCGGTGGTGTTGAGAAGGGCTTCGGGAGAACTCGGTTGAGAGCCTGTCTCGCCCTCGTGGATTATACTCTGAACCAAATCACTCCAGTGCATCGGGGAATCTTGTCGAAAGAGAGTCTGAACGTCGGTGAGTGTTTAGGGACCGCTCGCGCGCAGGTAAACTCACGGAGCGTGCAGCGTTATTCGCATGTCACCTTTTCAGTGCGAGTCGCACACGACCGGCGCGGCGGGGAGATAATTGCCGAGGAAATTGCAAAAGTTCATTGCACTTTCATTCATACCTCATTGTTTCGTGAAGCGCGCGAGCAAGCGGAGCGAGTCCGCGCTGTTCCGAGGTGTCGATTGCGGGAAATGATGAAATTACTATTATTTCGCGGGTGTTAAATATAATATATATATATTATAATGGAAATCCCATAAGCACGTATCTTTACGCAATCGTTTCAGATTAGACGAGTCGAAGATGAGAGAAAGTGTCGTGTCAAAATAAATCATATGGAGTAAGTCCAAGACAGTTTAATTGTAGCCTCCGGGTGGCCACAGGATAAAAAACAGATATTTATTTTAAAGCAATGGGTAAAACGAGCTTGAGGGAAACAGCGAAATCGAACTGTCACGATCGTTTAAACATCTGCTTCACTATATATACTTTAGCGATTGCTAGAGGAACAGCAACGGGTGATTGACGGGTTAACGGGTTATCCTTCCTCATATCGCTCCTGAATTGCCTTAACTTTCGAAATATTCTAAGCCCGTGCTGGAACGCACGCGAAAGACGAATCGCGAGATGTCGGGAGGTCGAACGTTAGTTTCTCGACGAGGAGTGCGTCTTCGTGCGGTGTCGATCGTCACGGATCGATTCAACAGTCGCGTTCGATGATCGCGCAAGCACGTGGCTCTCGGCGCGATCGCGCGTTCCCAGAGAAATGCTCTCGCGTGTGCGCGCGCGCGCGCGCACGCGCGAGATCTCCGCTCGCGAGCGTAAGGTGAACGCACTGACTTGCGACGCGGATGGAACGCGGAACCGAGCGGGCGATGTGCGAGACAAATGATCGTCTGCGAGGCCGCGAAATTCGCCGCCGCGCCGGCAAAATTTGCCCAATCTAAAGGACAAAATTACTTCTTCCCAATCGACTCGAATGAATAAATTGTTTTCTCGCGATACATAAGTCCAGTAAAAATGATCTTATATTATGAAATGGAGGAACACTGTCTTTTTGCGTTATACGAAATGTTCGGTAAAGAATGCATTCTTGGTCAACAAAACGATATTTCTTATTAGAAATCTCTGAATATTTTCTCCTTTCTTAAAATAAAATTGAATGTTTACGTTCCTCAGTTTCTCTGATTTATCAATTTCTTCAATCTTTGGGTACTTTAAGAATCTTTTCTGAAATTTTCTTATGACACGTCTGGTATTACAAGAACACGCAATAAATGACGTTTAATATTATATTATACCGTAATTTATAATATTTTTAAACTTAGTAATTATTTATTAAGAAAACAAGTATTAAGAATAAATAAGAATAGATTATTAAGTAGTTTTCGCCTTTTATTTTATGTTTAATTTTGAGGCTTTGAATTTAAATTTGAAAGTTATTTAAATATAAAAAATATTCAAATATTTAAATAATCAATATATTTGTGTATTTGAATATTTAAAATATTCAAGTGTATAAAATATTCAAATATTTAAAATACTTCATTAAAAAATTAGTGCGAATTGATTGCCACGACATCGGAGGATCTATTATGTTACCGTTCGGAAAATCATTTGATAAAAGCACTCTCATTTTTCATTGTCAGTTGTTGTTCTACTATAGACGTTCACAATTTTTTCAACGATCGGAAAGTTTTCGATCATTGCGAAAGAATGGAAAGTCGGTTTTCCAATCGAAACAACCTTCGCGTCATCATGATTGATATCGTTTCATCACGTAGCGACAGTACACCAATTCGGAAAAAGATTCACGATTGCCTAAAAACATACACGATATTGCTGTCAGAAATACGCTAATTTGCAATTCGCGTGTCACAGAAACATAATATAGGCCCACTAGGAAACTATCACGGAAAAGGTTTCTATGAAAATAATTTCACCTCTCATCAATTGTCTTATTGTAGACAGATAGTCAGATATCGTTCGAAGTAATAAATAAATAAATAATCATAAATAACATCACGACAAATGTCTTAATTTTGCGAATCAAAACCGCTATTATATTTATATTACAATTACACTGACCGATGCTTGATTCAATCGTTGGCAACTCGATCGTTGCACTCTGTATATCGGTCGACGAATATCTAACCGCGCGCGAATTGTCACAAAACACTTGAAATTCGCGAGGCGGAAAAACAAAGCTGGCTAAGAGGGTAGGAGGAAGGAAGGGAGGAATTGACGTCGCGGGAGGGAAGAAAAGACGGGTTAGAGAGAGGTGGAGGAGAGGATCCGAAGCGAAACGTGCAGGTGAGAGAACGAGAGAGCCAGAGAGCAAAAGAGAGAGAGAGAGAAAGACGACAAAGACAACGATAAGGAAGAAGAGGGGTAGATGTTAACGGAGGAAGGGAGGGGGAGGAAGGTTGTGACCAAGAAGAGGAAGGAGGAACGAGTCAGGAAGAAGTCAACGTCCGAAGATTACGGCAATGACATTCACTTTTTCTCACTCTCTGCCTCGTGTTTCTCTCGTGCTCTCCGGGCTTTTTTTCTCTTCTCTCCTCCCTCTCCTTGTTTCTTTCGCGATTCACCGGCGATTCCCTGTCCTCATCTCTCTCGCTGGTGCGAAAATGCCGGAACATATAGGGTGGAGTAACTTGGGAAGTTACCTAAAAGTCTTTCGGCACGATTGGCCGTAGTGAAAAGTTTTGAAGTTTGTCAACTTCATTGTTATGCAAAAATCAGAAGCGATCTTTGCGTAAAAGACACGTGACTTCGTTAGCTTATCTCTCTCACCGCATGATGCGTTAATAAATAATTTTTCGGCAACAATTTAAACGGTAACAGATTTCCTTTTCTAATATTGTGTTGGAAATCGAGAGACATGGGAAGAGCCTAAGAGCAGGTATTGCAAATCGTTATGTATTGATATTGTTTGCGGATCCATATTGCTGTAACCGGAAACAGAACGGCTAACTTTTTTAGAAATATAACTTTACATTTCTTAGAAATTAATTTGTCTCATTATTTTGCATATAAAAATATTAAGTTGAGATGATCGAAAAATGAATACTCTATTTTTATGAGACACTTCATATTTTATCTTGATATATTTTAATATGAAAACGTCTTTCTATAATATTTGCCTTGTAAAATATTCATTTTCTTAATTTATATTAATATTTCTATATACATTCCAGAATTGTCAAGAAAGTGTTAGATATGCAAAAGTTTTAACTCATGCAAATTTAAGAAATTCTTATTCATACATTGAAAAATTTCTCCATTTTTTTAATTCCTGATTTTATCTTTCTGCAGAGTATATGAATCCTTCAAAGGGATTGCTTTCCTGGATGAACATGAAATTTTAGAAATCCAATTTTCTTAAGTTACTTATTCTATTGGGCTTTCTATTTAACTCCATGAATTTTTGTATTTTTACAAAAATTCGATCGTATATCTTCTATAATTAATAATTAATTAAATCTTATTCTAGCAATAAATCGATACGATCACATTTATGCGTGCGATCACATTTATGCGTCTTTATTATTTTGCGATTGCGTTTCTTTCTTTCCGCGTCGTGCATATCGTTGTTTTGCCTTTGGTTTCTGATTTTCTTTTCGTTTTGATTTATCTTTCAGCGAGATGGCTCACGTGAAAAGTCAATGGACGTGTAAACCATTGAAAATTGGCGAGCGAGTTTGCGCTCGCGCTACTAGAAAAAAGTTTATCCTATAAGAAAAGGGAAAGAGCAAGAAGAAACAAAAGAGAAAGAGAACGAAAGGGAAAGAATAACTACGAGAGCGGCAAGGACGACGAACCACGAGTAAAGGCGCTCGGTCGATCGGCGTACCCCAAAAATAATGGGTTGAACTTTCGAGTGGCGTTCTCCACTCGTAAGAAGAAGCTGAAATGGAAGGCGAGACGACGTGCTGCTTCAACTTTCGCGTTGATTGCGTTCTTAACGAACGGTAGTCGGATCTGCTCGGAAATCGGCGCGTTTCGTCAGTCACAGATGGAACGAAGGGCCCAGGGATCGGTGCTAAAAGTGACGGAAGTGTGAAGTCCAACGATAACAGTGATAACGTATTGTAACTTTCTTTTTAAACGCGGCAGTGCCTGTCCATCGCTCTTTCAAAATCGTCAAACAACCGCGCCCCGCATTCTCCGTTCCGTTCGTTCGGCTCGCATCGAGTGTATCGTCGATCTTCATCGTCCGCAGATCCTGTCCGTTATTTATACATTCGCGAGGAAATCTCGGGAGCGTAATCTCTCCATTCGCAACTTTTATCGCGCTCATCGCATTCGTCGCGCGCCCATTACGCGCCGTGGTCGAATTAAATCTTATTAAGCAGCGGCGTAAATGCAAATGCGAGAAACACGTAGCCGGGGGAAGAGCGGCCGCGAGATAGACGGAGAGGCGTAATACCTGCGAGGAAACGAGGAAACGTTACTCGCGGTTCAAGGACCCCGTGAAGTTACGAGAGAGACGAGCAGCAGCGGCGACGACGACGACGACGACTGGCACACTCGAGCGGGAAGACACGTTCGTTATACTTACCAAAATCGATCATCGATTATAAAACGTTCTATTAAAGAAGAGGTTGTCGCTTCTCAGACGACGCCTGATGAAATGTTGAATAAATTAACGAGATACAGGATATCCTTTCGCAATAAAACCGTTTCACTAATGACGCTCGACGTGTCCCGCGAGTTATGTCGGTTCAGCTTACGCGACGTGTCGACGGAGACATCACTAGTGCTCTGCAATAGAAACGCACTATGTATGATATATAGAAGATGCTATCTACCGACTGAAATAACGTTGCACCGGTTTGTGTACAAGTAACGAAGGGGAAAGTTTAACGACGAAGTTGGATGAACAAGTTTCGTATAGCATATCGAGTGTCAAGCGTTGAATAATTAAACGAGCTTATTAAAGAAAGCGATCGCCACTTTATTATCATCAACAAAGTTCGACCGATACGTAACTCCATTATCTTTGAAGATTCGAAGAAGATAACAACGTTTTTTCTTCACTTTTCTATCCGTGCAAGAATTGTGGCCAAAAATCGACGTCACCCGAGGTAGCCGCGATTTTCGAAGATTCGCGAGAGGAGAATCTACGCCGGTTCCTCTCCCCGTGAAAGCTGCGAAAGTGCCGGTCGTCCGTAGATCGAGAGTCTCCGAGTTGTCGCCGGCTCTCGCAGGACCGTCGACGAGACAAGGATCGAGAGGCGCGCGCGCTCGCGCGCGAATGCTGAATGCCGCAGGCGGTAGCATCGCCAGCAAACGCGACGTGCACCACGTTGTTCGCCATCGGCGCGGCCGCCGACGCCGTGATCGCTCGTACGTACGTTCGATGCAATCCGTACAATGGACGTTTTCAAACTCGATCAGTCGCTGAGCGCGGGTTTGGGCAGCGCCCCGGCGCCGGACACCCTCACGCCGGAAGTGTCGTTCGACGCCGGCAGTGAGTTCAACCTGAGCTTCTTCGACGGCCCGGAGGAGAACAACAGCACCCAGGGCTTCAGCGATCCCGGTTCCGTGGGTAGCGCCAGCGCCTCGCCGCCCCCCGGTACCCCCGTCGCCGCCGCCGCCGCGACCGTCGCTGCCGCCACCGCCGCCGCAGCCTCCGCTTCCGCCGGTGTTAATAATCCGAACGCGCCCCCGCTGCCGATTGTCCAAGTGCCCACCGCCGGCATCGTCATTAAGCAAGGTTTGTTTTCATTTCTTTCTTATATCGCGCGATCGCGAATCTTTCGATTTTTATTTCTGCGCTGTTTTGCTTCGACTCGTTCGTATATTCGAGGAAAACGCCGCGCCACCAAAAATTTACGGTTGTTGGCGTTAATTTGGCAATCATGGTATTGCAGATATTATTACAATATCGCAACATGCATTTTTACGCTACATGTTACTACAATTATTATGAAATCCCCGATAACCTTCTCTAAATAATATTGAGATATTATTACCTTGT